GAAAATTGGACGGCGCGGCCGTGCCAAATTTAGCCTATTTTTGGCGCGGCCGCGCCGATTGCAGAATTTGGACAGTGAGTTTCGGCGATTCTCATGCGGTCGTGTGAGAATTACACTGATTTTCGCGCGGCCGCGCCAAAACACGCTGGAGACAATTTTGGACTTTTAATCACACAAGGAAACCTAAATTCTTCTACCAAGTTGGGGCATCTATTTAAGGGCAAACCAAGCACGAATTAGAGGACTTTTGGACACAATCCTAGAGGAAGAGGAGCGAGAGAACGAAGAAACGAAGACGGAGAATTGACAAATCTTCATCTCAATTCTTCTTTCATCCAGCTTTTCTTATCTATTTCGTTTTATATTTTTATGATGTTTTTCTTAGAGAACATGAGTAGCTAAATTTTTAATCTAGGATTTTGTTGGAACCCTATGTGGGGATGGTGAACCCGTTTTCTTGAGATTATGCAATTATGATTTTATGATTATTTCTTCTACTTGTTATGATTGTTAGTGCATGAACCTGATCATTTTATGTGCTTTATTTGTGATTATTGAGATTGATTCGACAGAGCTAGTTTGATAATTAGACCGTAGGTAGAAGAGCTTTCAAGTAGTTTTCACCGGATGAGTGTGTCAATTGCATGTGGTGTCGTAGACATACAGATATCACCTTAGGTAGCCATTTACGAAACTTGTTAGTTAATGTTTTATTTATAATTGGTTTGCATAGACATATAGTGAACCGTTTATGAATAATAGACTCATAATACACGCGACAACGGGTTATGAGTAAATTAGTGTCTCGGGTTAATAATCATGAATCATATATTTCATAATTGAGGGGTTTTGGGTGAGCAATTCTTGCATAGGGGGAAGATAAAATCCTAGGTCCGTTTTTATTGATATTTTCTCGTGTTTATTTGCTTCATAATTAGTTTAATTATTTAGTTGATTATATTTCATAACCTTGCGTAGGCTGGATAAAAATTATAATTGTTATAATTTGGTACTTAGGAATAGCTAATTTGAGTATTCCCTGTGGGATCGACATCCGATTCTCACGAGTCCACTTTTACTACTTGTTTGCGATACGTGCACTTGCGTTTAGGTATTTAGCTCCAACACTTATCTTAAAATAAGTTGATTTAAGCTTAAAATATAAAATGCGCCCCTAAACCAACTTCTTCTAACATAAGTTGTTGAAAATTGTTTTTTCATGAAATTTGAAAACTACTATAACTTTTAGAAGTTATAAATTGACACATATCATGAACTTAACTCATAATCAACAACATTTATTTTTTTTAAAAGCGTTTGCAAACATAAGTGGTTTCGCTTTAATGGCACTAAATAATAAAATTCATTCAATAAGCCTATTCAAAATCATCCTCCATTTCAACTTTCAATTATATAAAAAAATCAAAAATAAAAAATCATCCTCTATTTCAACTTTCACCTATGTAAGTTTGAATTTTACCAAAAACAAGATTGACTTTTGAACTTATCACTAAAAATTAAAATTTCATTTAACAATAAATTTATTAAAGCAAACATAAAAAAATAATAATAATAAATATATAAATAAATAAATAAAAGTAAGCAATTGAGGGGCATCATGTGGAAGATGGCAATAATAATAGTATTTTAATGGTGTTTGTCGTGTAAGATAAATTTACAGGATCTGCCCTCGTGCGCCTCAATTGCAGATTCTTTCTGTTTTGTTCTCCACCTCCCCCCACTCGTGTGTTTCTTTGACCTTTGACTTTTTTTTTTTTTTTAATACTACTATTTTTCAATTTTCATCTTAAAAACATTGACAAAAAATGTCAAGGCAAAAACTCAAATTTAACTAATAATGCATTTTTTATTTTTATTTTCCTTACAAAAACATCATCATCATGAATGGGAAAAGGGAGATTTTAAAACATATAAATATATAATATAGATAGTGTGGTTAAAGTAGAGTAGCAAAATACGACTTGTTAAACGCTACTCGTGCAGTTAAAAAATTCGATGAATTAATAAACTCGTTTAGATAATGTATTGTTTTGGTCCTAACTCGAGGACATCAAGTTAGAAAAATGTTTCGATAAATTAATAGAATTTCTCCCCTATAGGCCCGATCTGCAATACATCAATTCTACGCAACATTACACTTAAAACGTTAGAAAATTAATTTGATCGAGCTAGCGCAATTGGCCAACATAAATAGAAAGAATCTGGAAATTACATTCCAATTTCCACCACAATTTATATATGAACAATATTAAACCACACAAAAATCAAATAAATTCAAAGAAATTAGAGGAATATGTTTGACGAGTACGAGGCAATATTGTGGGAGTCAGAGAGTCAGTCCCAATATTGGATCCTTTGCACGTGACCTTCATTACTCACAGTTCCTAGAACTCACGTGGGCACCTTCATTTTTCTTTATATTAAAAAAAAAAAAAAAGATAAATGGGCCAAGATTCATGGAAAAAACTTTGTTCCTATATATATCAAATGGGCCGGGCCGGGTTACTAATTAAGGTTAAGAATTGACAATAAGCTGACTTATGGACCACAAAAGTTTAATGTGGCCGTACTAAACTGCCTTTATGGATGTAATTATAAAATAATATTAATTATTTTTATATAAACTAATTAATAGCTTACGCAGACCAATTATATATTAGATTATTAACCAATAAACAGCAATTTGCGTATGCACTAACGGAGCTAGGATTTTGAGTTTCAGGAGGCGAATGCTATTTATTATATATAAATTTATAATTTTTTTTTATATAAAATAATATGAATTTGAAAAGTATTGGGGGTGAATGCCCCCGGCCCTATGCTGACTCCGCACGTACAAATCAAAACCCATAATTTTTTAGCTACAGAATTTTGGGGCCTTAATCATTGTATTATGAATTATGACTTCAAAAAATAAATCTTGTGTTATTAATATTTATGTCAGGAATACTATTTATTAAATTAATTTTCCTTTTATAATGCGTGCCCTCTTTTAATTGGTCTACAGCTACATTAAATCAAAATTTGAATTTTCCAAGGTGTTAGCTCTTGGTTAAAGCTCAAAGACAACCTCAAAACAAGGATTCCTCAAATTTTGACAATCACATATATTATTATTATTATTAAAATTAAAAACATAAAAAAAAAAAAAACAAAAAAACAATAGGCTCATTAATTTCACTAATAATTGGTGCGCTTTTATGAGTTGTTTTTTTGTCTGCCAAAAGCTTTTAGCAAAACCCTCTCCATTAAAAAAAATAAAATACAAAATAAATAAAAAAAGAGAAAAAGAAAAACATATTAATTAGTGGAGTGGTTGTGGAATATATTGTTGTGATGTTCAATATCCCAGTAACCCCAATTTCCTGGTACATGTCTTGTTTAAATTTCTTAATTCATTTTGCAGTTACACAATCAACTATTTTGATTTCCCATAATGCCCCTGTGCCATGCGGTTTAAAACCGTAAATCTACATAAATAACTGTCCACTAAACGCATATACACAAGAATGTATTTGTTATTATATGATATATTTCACCAGGTGTAGATTCTAAAAAAACCCTAATCTATATTCTTTAAAAAAGATATATCGGAATTAAATCCGGTCAAACCAGTTTGAATGGCCAAGAAAGGTTATATATAAATGACTTCCACAAATTAAAAGAAATAAAAAAAATTAAAAAAAAATCGAATGAGTCAAAATGTGAACGAATAACAAGGTTCACACATGAATTTACAATGTAATAAAAGTACAAATCTTATGTATATATATATTTATTCAAGACATAAATTACAAGGACAAGACGAGGTGTACCTAGTCGACCCATTTGCTGTAATTATGTTTACCGAGAGATTATATATTAATAATTAATTAAAAGAAAAAAAAAATGGGAATTAATGGCAGCTGGTTCAAGAATTGGGGTTGGTTGATTAAATTAGTGAAGGGTAATTGGAGCACTTAACACTAGGAGATGAGTTTAATTTGTTTATAGTTTTGAAGAAGAAGCCTTTCGGAGATGCAGGGGAACAGCGCCCACGTTCTCTTCATATATATCTTACTCCTTTTTTATATATATATATATATATATATATATATATATATATATATATATAAATATAATTTGGTAAACACGACTATTTTAATTAAAAAAATATATATTAAAAATAACACTCTTTTAATTTAAGTTTTTAATGATATTTCAAAATACTACTAGCTACATTATTAATTGCCATCAACAAGATGAGTTTATCGGATTCCAAATGTAGTTCGACGATGAATCTTACAGAGTGTTGTAATATATATTTTTCGTCGATTGTTCGACTTTGAATTAGGGGCACAACGCCCATATCTGTGTTTAGCTACCTCCGATCAGAGTAGTTTCTCCAACTTTTTGTTCTTCTAAAATGAACTAAACGCATTCATTGACGTACATATATCGAGTTTTCTGACGAGTCGAGTCCGAGTTGATTCGTAGTTGTTCTTGATCAGCTCGCGAAGTTTTTTTTAATTGATATAAAATTAATTTAAAAAAAAAATGAAATAGTGGTGACTTTTTTTTTTAATTATAATTTATAATAATAAAATTCTAATATTAATAAAAAAAAAACACACACACAATGGGTGAGGGTGGAAAACAAATACTCAAATAGATCAGACTCGCCAAAACAGCCAAACTCAACTCGAGTTCGACTTGTTTACACTCCTACATGTAATTAGGGGGTTGTGTGCTAAAACAAACTGAATTACAGAAAAGTTTCTGCAATAAAGTAACATGTGGTAGTTTTTTAGCAACTCGATATAACACAAGGGTGCAAATTGCAATAAACCACATGTACTCTTATACGTTAGTTTAAGAAGAGGGGTTAAATTAATCACATAACAACTACCATCATTAACCATGTAATTACATTATTACCTTTAATTAGTAGTCTCTAGTCAAATGAGATCTTTATATAGCAAAATATCAAACCAAAAAAAATAAAATAATAATAATAAAAAATAAATAATTCCCTCTCTCTTATCTCTTGCAAAAATATTCCATAAATAGAAGCAGCAGATTCCACACCCTAAAAACTCCTCTCTTTTTCTCCATTTTACACTACTAACTAAAGAAACCGCCTTCTCCAGTATTCCCTGTTTATTACACGATCATGGTACGTAATTAACATGTTAATTAATCCTCCTATATTAATTAAGCTTTGTGTGCTAGTTAATTGATCATATGATTGAATTATGGTGTTGTATTAATTTAATTTAATTTTAATTTAGGGGGGTCAAAAGCCTGCATGGATGGAAGCACTATACGCGCACAAGTTCTTCGCGCCGTGCTCGATTCACGACTCCGCGAAGAAGAACCAGAAGAACATATGCTGCTTGGACTGCTGCACGAGCATTTGCCCGCACTGCGTGCTCTCTCACCGGGCCCACCGGCTCCTCCAGATTCGCCGTTACGTTTATCACGAGGTTGTCCGGTTGGAGGATATCGACAAACTCATGGACTGCTCCAACATTCAGGTTTTTATATATTTCTACTAATTACAATTATTCACAATTCAATTCAATTTCAATTCGTTAGTTAATTAATTCGTTATATAAAAATTACGGTTTAATTACGCGTCGTCGGCAGGCTTATACGATAAACGCAGCGAAAGTGTTGTTCATAAAGAAGAGGCCACAAAACAGGCAGTTTAAAGGGTCTGGGAATTATTGCACTTCTTGTGATAGAAGCCTTCAAGAACCATTTATCCATTGTTCTCTTGGTTGTAAGGTAACACAATTTTAATTCTTTTATTTTTTTAATTATTTCAATTTTTTTTTAATTTGAATTACTTTGAAATAATTAATTATGGAATATCTTGTGAATTCAACTAATTTTTTTTTATAACTGAATTTAATTTAATCCCTCAGTTTATATATTATATGCATAATTTGAATTAATTAATATAATAGAAACCCTAAGCAGAATTGAATATTAAGATATATATGTTGATTTCTTTTTTCAAGATTTTTTTCAATTTTAAAAATACACACTTAATTTCCAACAGCTAGATTATTGATTACAATATTATGATCATAATTTTTTTTTTTTTTTTTTTTTTTTGTAAGTTCGTGGTGATCGATCGATCAGGTTGAATTCGTGCTCAAACACTACAAAGACATAACACCATTCTTGAAAGTATGCAATACACTTCAACTCAGTCCGGATTTCTTCATTCCGCAAGACATCGGAGACGAAGAAACAACCAATCACAACAACAATTCGCCACATTCGACAATCGTCGACGAGCCGTTGACGTCATCGTCGAGCTCGGATAACATGAGCTTCTCGTGCACCGAGTTCGTACGAAAGAAGAGAAGCGGGCTCTACGTGTGGGAAGATGGC